CGAATCACGTTAAATTTTGTGTCCGTTTTTTCATTTTTATGCTTCCTTAAATTGTTTGTTTTTATTGAATATGATGCAACGCCCATGAATGATTCTCATGTTATAACTTCTAAATTATGTCATTGTTGTGTTTCATTTATTTGTTTTATCGTAGTTTAAACATGGCTGGTAAGGCTAAAGAACATGGTTCACTAGCACTCTGGGAAAAAGAAGCAAAATGTTGTTTTGCAACCTTTGTATAAAAGAAATAGAATTGAGCAATAGACCAACAACGTTTTTCAATAAATAAGGTTGGCAGAATATCATTAAAAATTTTAAAGACTCCACGGGACGGGAGTACGAAAGGCTACAAATGAAAAACAAATGGGATCAACTGAAAAAAGATTGGAAAATTTGGAAGGATTTAAAACGTGGTTCAACTGGTTTGGGTTGGGATCCGATAAAGCAAACCATTGATGCCTCGGAAGAGAGGTGGGCAGAAAGGCTCGCGGTTGGTAATTTTAATTTTTTGATAATTTCCATAATATCTTTCTCTTTCAAGATTTAGAACTGATTTGGGTTTTTTCTCCAGGTGGTGCCCGCAGCGAAAAAGTATAAAACTTTTGGAATTGAACCCGATTTAGAGGAGAAGTTAGACCTGATGTTCGGGGGTGTCGTCGCCACAGGAAAATATGCATGCGCTCCTAACGAGGTAGGATTTGGTGAAACACGGGACAATGTTGTTGTCAGCTTATCAGATGATTCACCTGATTTCCCAAGTCCAAGTCCAACTAAGATTCAATCCACGAACCGCTCAAAGCGATCTAGGTTCAAGAGTAAAAAAAAGGGTGGAGCTGCTTCTATTAGAAACCTTCTATTAGAAACCAGATATCATGGGATTCTTCCAACGATGCCCCTCATAAAGTGCAAAAAATATCAATTAACGAGGTTGTCTCAATTTTAGAGCAGGATCCGAGTATTGCAGCGGATGATGAGCTTTACTAGTTTACTGTTGAGCTGCTTCAAAATTCGGTGTAGAGAGATTTTTTCACAGCAATTGCCAAAGAGCGAAGAGTGTCATATCTACGACATTTTTATGAGCGCAGAAAAATTTGAATGGAATTTTTTAGTATTTGCTATGTGCTTATTTGAACAGTTTATGAGAAGACATGGTTATTCGAACTGTTGTTAACTGAGACTTTTCAGTTTAATTTGTTTTTTACATATAACTATATGAAAACTGCGGAAATCTAATTTGTTGCTAAAAGTTCCTTAGAAGTCCATAACTCTGATCTACACTGAATGCTTGTGTTATTACTTGTCACAGGTTAAATAATAGACTTCTTTTCATAATGATGATTAGCTTAATAATTTAGTTTTCTTTGTCTAAATGTGTCCAGTATACATCATTATGGACCCAAACCAAGTACGTCGTAGAAAAAGAAACACAACTATCAACTTGCTCGTAGAGTACTACAACACATACATCGACCGTTCTCTCTGTTACACATCATCACATTTTGGAGACAAATGGGTTGCGGAAATGCTTGTCGGGCATCCCACAAGATTTCACAACATGTTTCGCATGACACAAGAGGTTTTTACAGATCTTTTAGAAGAACTCATTGGATCTCATGGCCTCCATGGGTCTATGAGGATGATTGACCGTGAGGACTTGGCGATTACTCTTTATATATTATCACAGAACGAGTCAATGTGTGGTGCGATAGAACGCTTCCAGCACTCATCAAAGACCATTAGCAGGTACTTCTCAGTGGGTTTGAGTGTTTTGGTGAGCCTCGCCAAACAAGTCATAAAGCCAACGAATCCAACGTTTTCACGAACTCCTAGAGATTCGCCACGATTGACGCTACATGTCATTCTTTAAGGTACTGATTTAATCTTATATTAATGAAATTTAACATGAAAGCATGACATTAATTAATGGCATGACATTAATAATTAATGAATTACTAAAGCTACATGTTTAGAATTGCATCCGTGCGATAGATGGAACACATGTTGATGCATGTGTTTCAAATGATGAGAAAGCTGCATTTATCGAACGTAGTGGAACCCCAACACAAAATATCATGGCAGTTTACGACTTTAATATGTGTTTCACATTTATCTTGTCTGGTTGGGAGGGCAGTGCACATGACAGCAAAATTTTCAAGAGTGCAACACGGAATCGGCATTATAGCTATCCCCATCCTCCTGAAGGTATGTTGTGCCACCAAATATTTATTGTATTTTTTTTAAAATGTGAAACTGAAGGTTCAACACCTTACAGAAAAGTATTATTTGGTGGATGTTGGTTATACGTTGCAGCGAGGGTATCTCAAACCATATCCTGATACCAGATATCATATATTTGATTTTGAACGAGCAAGTAATGTTACACGAAACAGACGAAACAATGTTACACGAAACAGAAATGAGGCGTTCAACAAAAGGCATTCCTCTTTACGAGGCGTCATTGAGAGGACATTTGGTGTCTGGAACAAGAAATGGGTGATATTACGTGATATGTCTGCTTACCCATTTCCAGAACAGGTTCAGATTGTGATAGCGACGATGACAATACACAATTATATTAGGCGACACCCGTCTCGATATGACGTTGATTTCCTCAATGCTGAAGCAAATCAACAGGAAATAGTTGAAGACCCATCCGAAAACCAAATTGGTAGTTCTATGTTACAAGATGACAGCGAACAATCAACCATTTGTATTAAGGGAAAGGTGCAACTGAAATGACGGTCATTCGAGAACAAATTACTAATGCGTTGATTAATATATGATTGATTTGTAATTTGTTAGAAAGACAAAGCAATTGCAACTTATGAGTGTTTGGTAGTAGAAGTTACTTTATGTGCACTGGTGATGTAATAAATAACTTTATTAAGAATTAAAGCTTTTATAAATGGTTATGAAAGATCATTTTACAAATTACAATGCCCTATATTATATGAATTTAGCTGGAAGTTGTTTAGATTACAATGTCCTAAATCTAGGTTTAGGTGTCTAATATGTTGAGACAATGATAGAAACTAATTCCCTTCTAGTGGTTTGATCCATGGAAGCCATGTCAAAATTCCCAGCCATGTAATTGATCTATACTGTTAAATGATTGAATGCTGATGAATTTATAGTCTGCTTGGATTTTACAATTCTGTTATTCTTTCAGCACATAGTTATTTTCTTTAATGTGTTATTTTCTGCAAATGTCAAATACATACCTTCGCTTTAATAACAAATTGTTTTTATTCTTTGCGTTGGTTGGGGTGGACTATATGTAAATGCCCTTATTTTTTTTGGGTAGCTGTTGTTATAAATAGGAATTGGGGAGCTGCTGTTATAAATAGGAATTGGGTGTTATATATGTAAATGCCCCTATTTTTTGGGTGGTATAAATAGGGGAGCTGCTGTTATAAATGGGGAGCTCCTGTTATAAATAGGAACTAGGTGGTATATATGTAATTGAGTAAATTGAGTAAACATAAGTTTGTATTGGTTTTTAGGGGCATTTACATGCATGAGCTTGAGCTTTCTTTCATTCCTAATTGTTCGTGAACCAGAGTAGCTTCCTTGAATTAATGAAAATTTTTTGTTACATTCAGGAGAAGATGAGCTCACGAATTTTCGGGGCATCGCGACGAACACTCTGTTACTGTGGCATCCAACCCTCACTGCTAAAGTCACGTTAGACACACAGCTACTGGAGAAAATTCTATACCTGTCCAGGGAGTATTGGCGAACAGTGCAAGTTCTTCCGTTGGGCAGACGGTTCGATTGATTCCCAAGATGACGTTGATCGAGAATGAAAAACATCACTTGAGGAAAGCCTGTCACGGGAGCTGCACCGTGTAAATGTTAAAAATAATATAATTACCTTGCTAATTGTCATTTTAATAGTTTTAGAGTTTTTTTTTTCTCTTCTTATGCTATCGGTTACTTGAAATGTGTTTATGTAATTCTGAACAGTTATCATTGAAGTTTGTACTAAACAATGATCATGTATTTCCCTGAAATCTTCTATAATATATGTATTGAAACTAAAAGCTTCCATTTTGGAGCTCATCTAGATGCCTGTGGTGTTTGTGTAATCTAAACAGAGCTCATTTAATAAACTTATTACTAGAAATCTTTTGGATGTTCCTTATATTAGACGCTAGGTTTTTTGTGAATTTACTGTGGTGTTTGCGTAATCTAAAATTTTGTTCCATAAGCGTTCTTATTCTTATACAGAAGTTGTTAACACTTTGGGGGCCTACTGAAGTTACAAAAATATGATTGCTATACTCTTCTATAAAACAGTTTTACCAAATAGGTGCATTATGATCTTTTTTTCCATAAACAGCTGCCCGAGAGCTGATTTCACACAGTTGCACCAAACAGACAGCCAACTTCCCCGCAGCTGCTTCCTCGCAGCAGTTTCCTGGGACAGTTTCCTGGGACAGCGCAGCTGCAGCTACGCCAAACAGAGCCTAAAGGGCAGGAGACAAGCTTCTCTCCTTGGAGAAAGGCCCTTCTCAGAGGATCAAAAAGGTGCTCTGCGAGGTGTCCTTTGCCTATTTTTTGTGAAGAATTATGGAATCGCTTGAGGAAGTTGTTCATGAATAATTGTTCCTCGGATTAGATGCATTCTATTCATTTGTTCGATCAACTTAGAGTTTTGACTGAAAGAAACGAGGCTTGGTATTTCGGTCTTTTGGTTGTCCTAATATATTGTCCTTTGGTCCTTATAAGCGAGACCCGTTGGATTTCCTCAAGATTCATGTATACAACTTTTTTTGTATAACATAAAAAATATCGTTCCTATTAACTTTTTAAAACTGAAGGACAACTTTTCATGAATAGATTCATGACACCAAAGCGTTGCAAATATAAATATCAAACTTGAGGTGTTAGATTTGTAAACATGAAAGAATTGTGTGTTATGTATGTGAATATCCCATTATTATATTTAAAAACAATGCAAGAAAATAAAATGGCCGTTTTAAGCTTCTCAAGATTACCTTCTCAGCTCGTTGGAGTATTTCAATCGCCCTCTTGACATCAGAATCAGTCATTGAAATCTTCTTCTCTTCCTCGGCATGTATCATTGCCCCTGTGCATAGAATCAATGACTTGCAAACCATTGCCTGTTTCCCTTCACTCTTATCACTGCAAGAATCGTAGAACTCTGCCGCCAGCTCAAAGAACTCAGCACAAATCTCATACTTCTTATCCTTCACCATCTTCAGCCCCATATTCCATGTATTGCCTGCAAACCAGTTTAGCTCACGAGCACCAACAGCTCCTGTGCCAAAGAAATTCTCAGTCCCAAGCTCATTAACTCTTGCCCAAGCTCTCCTCGTGTGCTTCAACATCTCTTGCTCACCATCTAAGTCCCGATGGAGAAGCGTAATGAGGTTACGAAACACTGCAACTTCCTTCATAGGCATCGGTTTTCCCGAAGAGTAGAGATTGAGAAGAATGGAAAGAGATGCCACAGCCACCGGGAAGGACTGACAGGCAATAGCTTCATGGGTGCAGAGAGTGAGAAACTCAGGGTTGAAGTCAATGCAGCTAACCATTGCCTCTATCTGACTGATGGCCGCCGCCTCGTCCCTCTTTTGCAATTGGATCTTAAACTGTTGAAGCTCGAATAAAAATAAACAGGAGAAAACTAATCATCACACCAATACCGTACTTCTTGAAACAAGGTAACAAACGAAAATAACAACTAATCAAGTGGTTACCTTCAGAAAGGAGCATTTTAAGTTAGGTTCAAGCTGCAAGCAAAAACCGAAAGACCAAAAACTCATATGTTAGTAACAGCTTCAGCTCCTGTATTCAGACAAGTATGCTTGTATTTACCTTCTCAGCTTGGTCGATGAACTCCTGAGCAAGATCAAGTTGTACGAGCGCGAGGTGACATAGGCTAAGAACCCTAAAACAATTTGAGCGCCGAGCTCTGTTCTCATCACGGGGCACGTAAAGCATCGACTTCTCGAACAATTCCGCGCTAATATCATACTCCTTCGATCTGAAACGCTCCGCTCCCCTGATTCGCATCACGGGACCAAGATTCAAACACTTGCATCGAGGATGGGACTAGTGAATATGAAGAAAGTATGATGTTGCAAAAAACAAACCAGTTCCAGAGCAATGCATGCATCGCATTTCTCTCCTTCGCTGACGAGTTGTCAATGAATAGCGCCACTACTCTATCGTCCGATGCCAGTTCCGCCGCTACCCTCGTCCTTACAGCACAGCTACCACTCTCTGCCACCATTTTTACGACCCTCAGCGCCGCAGCGGCTCCGCTCCTGCAACGCCCCAAGAGCATCATCATTATCTCCTTGGCCTCCGCAGCCCCAGTAGCAGTAAGAAACGTCTCGACCGCAGAGATGCAGGTAGTTTCAGGCACGCTTTTGTTAGCTATCAATCCTCTCAACTCCATTTCCGCCTCCGCCAGCCTTCCAGCCCCAATACAAGCCTTCATCGCCATGTATCTTATGCTCGGATGTTCTTCCTTCCCTTCAATTCCTCTCGAAACCCTCACGCAATTCAGCACTCCTTCGTAGTCTTCTGCCTGCAGTCGCTCCGCCGCCATGAATCGGAGGCATCGCGCCTTCAAGCGCTCCAGTTCTAAACTTCCTCCTGTCGAAATTGCTATACCTTTCTCGCACAGTTCAAGCGATTCGCTTAGTAGCTTGGACGCGTCGACTAAACCGTCGGAAGAGTTCTTGAGGCTAAGCTTCCCAAACTGAAGGTATTGCTCCGCTAAGGCTTGGAAACCTGCCTGAGAGCCGAATAAGATGTTCTTGGAGCGGCCGAGCAGTGCGATCGAGAGGCTCCGATCGTTCGCCTCCCACGCTGTACGGGCCCTGGCAAGGTTTAAGTCGAGCAGCAGCCGCTTCTCATCCTCACCGTCGGCACGAGACGATGATATCAGGTCAGTGGCGTGCTCAAAGTTCGTAACAGCGCGGTTGAACCTGCCAAGATCGTGCCATATAAGGCCAGCCTTGTGGAAGAATGAAGCGGATTTGATATCGGGAGAAGGGATTCCCTTGGGATTTTTCGCTAGGAGGAGGATTTCGGCAGCAATCTGGCGTAGCTCAGCCTGCAGTACAAAAGTGCGGTCGCGATAGTCAGCGTCGACGGTGCGGAGACCGTCGGAGGCATTGGCGAGGTCGACGCAAGCATTCCATAAGCGATAGCTGAGTTTCCATGCGTGAAGCTTGGCCAAATCGGACAGGGGATGGGTGGAGGTCGTGCTAGAGAGAGATTTGCGAAGGCGGACAACGAGGTTCTCCAGCGAGGTGAGGTCTTCAAAGGTGAGGGATTCGGCTTCATTCACAGAAGATTCAATTTCGTCAAATACGTGAAGGCGGGAGGACTGGGAGTCACCGTCTGCAGGCGGACGACAGAGTTCAGGCGAGAGCTCGGAGATTCGCATCGATGGCGGATAGTTTGCGAGGAAGGGACGGGTGTCTGCCCAGCCGAATTGTCGCTTTCGGTTAATAAGCAAGAGGTTTTCTCGGACAACAGCACATAAGCTGTTATTTCTTTATTTTTTATATTTTCAAATCAGGTCTATTTCAATTTTTCTAAATAAATGATCATTTTATCTCTATTTAATAATAATGCTTAGATTAATACTTTAGAATCAAAAAACAAGTGCATAATATTAAAAAAAGAGATATACACCTCATTTAGCATTAATTATTATTATTTCTCAAATTAAGAAAAAAACTATTAAAATAAGATTTGTGGCTGACATGAAATTTGCAGGGAACATTGAAATCCAAATTGACAACGGAATGCTCGGGAGGTGACAGTAATCCTCAAACTCATATTTTCTGATTATTTTAAACGACATCTAATTAGATATAGTACAAGCAAAAATTGTTAAAAGAGACGATTAATTATAGTTGTATGCATCTATGATGTCTCAGAAAACTTTGTATATCAACCAATGAATCTTACTACAAGAAGATAATAGACATTATAAGAAAATGGTTCTTGGTTGTCTTTATCCCACATAATATCAAGCTCGTGTGTGTCACATATGCATATCACGAAAAAGACCATCCAGAATACCTCAAAAACTGTATTGCTGAAAAAAAAAGTGAGAAACTTGGTTGTTTTCATTAAAATTTCACATGTGACACCAATCAATATCAGCAAATAGGTTATTCAGAAGAACCCATAAGGTCTAACGTCTCATCATAGACCTCCAAAACTCATCAAAATAAAAACAAAAGAAATGAAAAAAGAAAATAAACTCTTACAAATAGCATAAGAAACTCAAACATTCAATATCAAATACACAAAGAACGAAAATAAACAAAAACTATATAAAATACAAATACAGTAAACAATGAATCTTTTTAACAACCATCAGAATTAATAATATGATGAATTGTTCCATTCAACATCCAACAATGTCGTATGTAATATGTTCTCTTAATTCAACCATTTCTCGAGCAGCTTCGTTATCCTGGGTGCAACCCTCATGTGATTCTACTTTTTCTTGTGGTATAGATGTCCTATGTGATATTCAAATGCTTCAGTTAGGACGTGTAAATAATCTTCATCCGCCATGTTGAAGCCTACGTCATTGCCCGAATGATACCGCTAAATATAGATGTAGAAGCAATTATGGCCACTATAATTTGCACCTGCTTCGGAAATAGATATGTCGACATATCACGCAGTATGAATCATTTTTTCTTTCACACTCCAAATGTTCATTCAATTACACCGTGTAAGGACGAGTGTCTCTTGTTAAACATTTATTTCCTGCCTCAAGCAATACTGTTGGATTATTCAAAGTGGGGAATGTGATATTTGTTATCCGAAAATGATATTAGATTCGTCCTTTGTAAGAGATATCTAGCGCCGACTAAATAATATTTCTCCATCACAAATACAATAATTAATAATGAACTTAAAAAATATCTAAATATGATTAACAGTTAAGCAAACTTAGAGGTGGGTGAGGGAAATTGTGCTTTTGATTTGTTGTGGAAAGCAAATATATTACAATCATATACATTGTCTTCCCAACCAACCATAACAAAAGTAAAACACATGTTGAAATCACATACAGCCATCACATATTGTGTTGGTGATCTGATCCCTATCTTATAAAATAATATTATTAAGTATGCGATTATATTCTTAATGTTTCCTTACTTATGATTCTTACTTCGCAACGACGCGAAAAACTTAATCTTAAGCAACCGCTAGGCAAAAACTTGACTTTGAAGCAAATAAGAATGTAATTATTATATTTAAATATGAGATACTACGCAAGCATATATATTGTTATCAAGTAATATAGGACTTTTTGATTATGCCTTAAATATCAAACCCACAAGGAGAATTACAACATTTAAATCAGTCAAAAGAAATTAGATAACAAATTCTACTTTCTAAAATTTTCTTACTTAAACTATAGATGCTACCATAGAAATGAAAGTTTGATTCTTTTTGGTATTTTTTTATAATTAAAAATAACGTAAAAAACTAACTAAGTTTATCTAGATATTTGTAAGATAAAGGCATCATAAGTAAATTTTTTTTCCTTATCATGAATCAGTTACAAGTATTGGAATTTAGTTGTGTAACTAGAGAAGTTATAAAGAACATTAGCTAGTTTAAAGTTTGAATTGTCCTGAAGATGGGCTAGGTAGTGAATATAGTAGCTCTCACTCTAGAGTTCTCTATTTTCCCTCCACCGAATATAGTAGCTCTCACTCTAGAGTTCTCTCTTTTCCCTCCACCTGGGAGCTAACATCTCAGCTAACATCTCGTATCACTAACATCTCGTATCAAAACCTAAAATTATAAACCAAATTGAGGGCTTTATTCTGTCACTCTAAAGTCTTCTAATTCTACACCCTTTAAAGTTTATTTTCATATTTATTTGCACTCAATCATAGGAATTGCATTCTCATCCTTACAATGTCATGTGATTCTTACCATTAGTTGACTGAGACAATATCATCTCAGATCTTACATTTCCTCCTAATAAATATTAACATCTTAATTGGTCAAATTAAAAAGTAAATAAAGTATAGGGTTAAAAAATATCACAACTTATTCCAACATTAAAGATTAATACTTCACATAACTTCCATCCAATACTTAATTATTTATCATTTTATGGTAAAAGATAAAGAAAACTGCTCAGAATTTATGGAGAAAACACAACCACACTTAAGTTTATAAGTAAAAATTATGCAAACAAACAAGAAGTCTAAATTAAAACCAAATGTAGTAAGAAAAATAAAAGATTATCTCAATTCCTCTCCACCAAACACTTGAAGTTCATTTCAATCTCTTCTCTTAGCTCCGAAGTGAGAGCCGGTATCCTCCCAGCCTAGCTGCAGATTCAGTAAACAAGCGTAGGATTAGTTAATGTTATTTATGTCTGGACCAAAGGGTAAAGAATCTATTTGGCACATACAATATTTAATGCATTTCATTCATTTACATTATCCAATTCATTACATAAGAATAGTAGTTTTTAATATCTCAAAATTCTCCAAATCAATTCATTCAAAAAGGGTTACTTTAGAATTAATATTTGCATTTAGTTATAGTTACTATCTTTACATTTAACACTTGCATTTAGGAGTAGTTGCTAGATAAAACATCACTTTAATCGACATTCCTAACTAAGGACTAATTTTAGTAGACTAAAATTTGATTAAGGACCTTTTACCTCGCTTCCTTGTGGGATCGATAAACGGGACTCCACTAGAGCCCTGTATTACTTGAGCGATCGTATACTTGCATTTTATACATCCATCTTTATGGAATCTATAACTGTTATTAAGTTTTGGTGCAGTTGCTGAGGAATTAAATCTTTTAGGAGCAGTAGTAAATACTTATATTTTTAAGCATATATAAAGTCGTAGTCAATGCTCCTCAATTATATGCTAGAAATTGAAATATTTGATGTTTGGGGATTAGATTTAATGGGACCATTTATACCATCTTTCAGAAATTTATATATTTTGTTACCAATTCATGGGACAATTTATACCATCTTTTGGAAATTTATATATTATGTTAGCAGTAGACTATGTATCCAAATAGATATAAACTGTTGCTTTACCTCGATGTGATGCGCAAAGTGTTGCAAAATTTTGAAAATGAACATATTTTGTAGATTTGGGATGCCGAGAGTTATCATTACTGATGGGGGAATTCATTTCAGAAATGTCATTATGGAGAAGTTATTAAATAAATAACATATAAATCATAGGATTGCTACTGCTTATTATCCTCAGACAAGTGGTTTTGTTGAATTATCCAATCGGAAAATTAAAAGAATTATGGAAAAATCTATGAATCCAATAAAAATGGATTGGTCAGTCAAACTTGACTATGCTTTGTGGGCTTATAGGACTGCATATAAAACTCCTATAAGAATGTCCCCATATAGG